AACTGCAAATGATATACATTTGATCGATTAGGAAACGGGTTTTTGTCAAAAATGGAAGTGATCCAAGTACTTCACAGAAATGAATGCTCGAAAATTGTGAGGAACTTTCATGGATTTAACTTTATAAAAAAATGAAAGTTAAGGACTCTAAACCGGTTGTTTTAAATTAGTCAAAACATAAAGATTGAGTGGCCGGAACGTTGGTTCAGCAACACTCATCAGTTCACTATAGATAACTGCGCCAAGTAGACATAATCGATTTTTCGTTCCTGTATGTTTGGCACCTTCACAATTATGACATAACACTATGACCGAATAGCACTAAACAAACCATAAAGAATCGTTTTTACTCAACGCAGCTATTTTGACAGAAATAAGGTGAAGAAGATTTGTAGCAACATTATTTAGCAAATTATTAAGAGTGCATTTCCAAAATTTAAAAAACAACTAAAATTAGAGCTGGTAAGAAGAAGGATATTAAATATTTAGTGTTACACAGGAATATGAGTAGATTGTTAAGAAAGAATACGACCAAGAGTTTGGCTGCAAGTGGGTGTTGAATGGTGAACAGCCTCGATAAACACGAAAAAGTTTCTCTCGTTTAACACACATTGCGGAATCGAAAATTTAGAAGTGTCAGAGTATAAATTAGTCAGAAGCGCCAATTTTGAATATATAAAGTCCAAGTGAAAAGAGGATCTTGATGATTGCAGAAAATTTATTGCCTACTGGAAGTTTATGGCATGAAAATAATGTTTTAAATAGCATACGAGACATATTGATTCTACCCTAATCTACACAAAGCAGTTTTGAGTCTTTAAAACGCTAAAACCATTTCAGATTGGAACTACGTTGGACTACATAAGAGCAAAGATTACGAACAGGTGCCAGCAAAGGGGACGCAAAGCCTTCGAATGTAAACGTTGGCGCTGCAGTGCCAAGGTGATATGAGTCAGGGCAACATAAGAGATGAAAAATCATTATGCTCATGTGTGTGAGATTACAATCAAGGACTATAAGTGCAATATCAGCCCTACTAAGTTAAAGTTTCTGGAAAACGCCTTTTATAATTTCCAGTCGACCGGGAAGTTTGGACTGTTTAATTGTTCGTTTACATTTTGCATAAATAAATATAGTTAGCATGAGTGCTTATTCTTTTAGAAAATCGAACTGTATGATTAATTTGAATGACAACGCCGATGAAACTAAGTTTTTCCTAATTCTTCCCCTAAATCGTCCTAATTGCGCTTGTAATGGCCATGCACGTGTGAAGGGTTGAATAGGTTTGCTAACCTTGAAACTACTATTTTGAGTTCGCCAACCGTCATCAGAAAACTACGAACGGAGCCGAACAAGCAAAAATTGTCTAATGGCACTAAAGTAGCTTCTTTTTTTTTACTGAGTGTAAAGGCTTTGACTGCTTTCTATAGTAGGAAGATTTGGCGCATTTGGCAATAACAATCCAAATACGGCATCGTAAAGCCTGACATATATTTCAATTTCTCCAATACAATCGATAAAAGTCATTTTTGGACAGTTCATATTCATGCCATACCGACATTTACACATTTCCTTAGAAACGGTGAAAACTTGAACAGGTGGGTTTATGCTAGGATGTATTTGCAAAATAGTCAGCTGCCTCGGACAAAAACAGGAAAGTAGGAACGGCATAAACACAGCAAAAAGTACCATTGGCATTAGGTGTAACTGCGTAGACATGTTTATTCTTCTGCTCGATAAAAACTAGTGAAAAGCAGGTTGTGTAAATATGCACATGTATTCTGGGTTTTTTAGGTTATGGCCTAAATTATGCATTCAATCAACTACGAGAAAACTTGATTAAAATTGAGAAAACTTCGAATGAGAAAACCAGATTAAGTGGTCTCTTGTTTACCTGAGTCTTAAGAACGAACTGCAAAGAGTTCTCATTCTTATCAACATATAGTAACGTGAAGGCAGGCACTGGGTTTTACATGTTTGGGCTCAAAGATTAACATAACATTTCAGCCAAAAAATGCTTTCGCTGGGTTGAAGAGAAACGAAAAGGAGAAAATGATTTCTGTCAGTAAAAGTAAAGGTAATCGCTATTGATTGAAAGCAAATTTGCTCCCTTATCTATATTTATCTGATACGTCTCACCACTATTGCATCACTTGAACGCATTTTAAGTGTTTTATGAACATTTAAGACACATTTAGACTATCTTTTTGTGGTAATAGCAAGCAAAGGCTTTCAAAATAAACGTAAAGAAAAAAAAGCACTCAGTTCTAAAAGAAGCTGCTAGAAAAAGT